GTCCAAATGTCCATGTCACACCTTCCCACTCCCAGCTTCTGGCTCACTCCCTTAGAGAACACTCAGAAGTCTGGAGATTTGGACTCTCACCCACATTTATTAGGTAAGAAAAACAGTAGATTTTAAAATACTTCTTAGTCCTCACAACTAAACTGAACGGTATATCAAGAACATAGTAGGTGCTTAATAAATATTTGTCGAATGAATGAATGTATGATTGTTCAATGGTAAGCTGAATTTGAAAGGGCAACTTAAAAGACTTTCTTCTTCAACAGATGAAGAGCCAATGAGGCAATGGGAAAGCTTTCTTTGTCTCCAAATTTGTCAGGAGCAATAGAAACAGTGAACCCACACCACTGATACACAGACTCAATGTGCACTGCAAGTAGTAAAAATTAATCAGAAGGTTAGAAAACTCTCCATTACTTCTTCCATAGTCTATCACTATATTAATAAGCCTACAGTAAAATAACAGTGGATTATAGCTGGGAGAGCTGCAAGAGACACAGTTCCCCTGAGAAGTATCACAAAAAAAAAGCCCAAAATTAAGAGGAGAGAAAAAAGCAAGGCCACTAAAGGAATTTAAAATTTTTGGTCCCCATAGCTACAACAAATATTATACATTGCCTAATTTTTGGCACAGGTAATATAAATTCACACACACTAAATGCCAATTTGCCTCAGTCTCTATTGCCCTATTAAAAAAAAAAAAAAAAAAAAGGCTTAAGTGAAAAGGCAAGAGCCAGAACCAGACTCAGATACAACACAGATTGGCATTGTCAGATAATTAAAAATAAATATGGTTAATATGTTAAAGACTCTAATGGAAAAGTAGGCAATGTGCTGGACCACATGACTAACAAGAGCAGAAAGATGACCAATATAAGAAAGAATCACACACATACAAAAACCTAAAATCAAAAACATAGTAACAAATGAAGAATATTCCATTTGGCTTCATCGGTAGCCTTGACACATCTAGAAAAATATTGGTAAACATGAAGATAAGTCAATATGAATTATCCGAACTAAAAGGCAAATAGAGACTAAATGATGAAAAAGATTAGAACATCCAAAAATGGCAGAACAATAGAAAATGGTTTAACATATGTAGAATTGGAAGAAGAGAGAAGCAAAAGAAATACTTAAATAATGACTAAATGTTTTCAAAAATTAGTGACAGATAATAAACCAAGGACCTGAGAAACTAAAGGGAATGCTAAGCAAGATAAATGCAAAAGACAAAACAAAGTGAAACAAAACACCTAGACAATATCATGTACAAATCAGAGAAAACAAAAGACCAAAAGAAAATCTTGACAGTAGCCTTGGGGATGAATGTGTGCTTCACCTACAGAGAAACAAGGACAACTACAGCAGACTTTATATCAGAGAACACAAAAATAAGAAGTCAAGAGAATAAAACATTTGATGTGTTGATAGAGAAACACACAGTAACAACAAAAGTAAAAATGAAATTGCAAGCCCAAATGCCAGAACCAGTGAAAAGTTCCTTCAAATGTGAAGGAGAAATAACTGACTTTCCCGAATAACGAGAAATGAGAAATTTAATTGCCAGAGGTCCCACCCTGTAAGAACGCTAAGTTCTTCAGTTAGAAGGAAAAATGATAAATGTCAGAAACTTGAAGAGTATCCAAATGTAATAGATAAAAATATAATTTTTCAATTTTTCTATTCTTTATTTATTAAAAGATGAGTACTTAAAGCAATAACAGTAACAATATATTGGGTGTTTAAATACCTGTGAAGTGAAAGAATGATAACAATGTCACAAGGGCTGGTGGAATAATTGAACATATTCCATTATATGATATCTTCGTTATGTATGAAGCAATAAAACTTGAAGGTAGCCTTAGGTTGTTTTTAAATGTATACTGTAAAAACTAGGACAAGCACTAAAAAGTTAAGAACTAAGTATCATGATAAGTTAATATAGGAGATGAAAATGAATTAAATTAAAAAATTGCTTACTTAACTACTATATGCCCATTAGAATGCCTAAAAATAAAAATGCCAGTTGCTTGTGAGGATGCAAAGCAACAGGAACTCTATTTCTTTGCTGGTGAGAATGCCAAAGAACTTAGCTGCTTTGGAAGACAGACAGAAGTCTCTTGCAAAATTAGACAGACATCACCCTATCATACAATCCACCAATTGTGCTTCTGGGTGTTTAGTTAACTGACTTAAATTTTACGTCCATGCAAAGCCTGCATGTGAATGTTTATAGCGTCTTTATTCATCATTGCCCCAAACTGACATCAACCAAAATGCCATTCCATAAGTGATTGGATAAACAATGATACATCTGTACAATGGAATATTAATCAGTGATTAAAAGTTAAGTCTGTACTAATAAATTATTAAATAATAAATGCCAAATATTTCAAATTATATAAATATATATGTCGATAGATGACAGATAGATAGATAATTAATTTACCTCACTCATTAGTGTATGCCATGCATGATGACTTCTTTCCCAAAGCACAGTAAGAAAATTGAAGGAAGAGGGGTAGCAACTTTACAAAAGAGAAACCTGATAAAACTACCTTAGCCAAGTGGTCAAGGTTAACATTATCAGTGATAAGTCAGGTTAATGGTATATATTCTTTTTATGATGTGGTGAAAGTGACTCTTTATCTTGGATATCTTCCTCACGAAAACCATAACTCCATTCAAGCAAATCCAAATGAGGTGCTTTCAACAAATACCTTGCCAGTACTTTTCAAAACTGTCCAATCATAAAAAACAAGTTTTAGAAAATGTCACAGCCAAGAGAAACAAGGCGACATGACAACAAAATGTAATATGGTATCCTAGATGGAATTCTGAAATAAAAAATAAGGAAATCTCAATTAAGGAAGGATTTAGTTAAAATAAGTTAAAATAGGAAGAGAGAGAGGAAAAACAAAGAACAAATATAACAAATAGAAAATAGTGAGATGGGCAATTTTAATTTAGGTATATTAGTAATCAGTTTATACATAAATGGTTTAAATATAATTATAAGGTAGATTTTTGTTAGATTGGATTAAAAATAAATGAACAAAAACTCCTTAAATATAAGGCCTCAGCTAGATTAAAAAGATTGAGAAAGATACTCCATGCCAACACTAATCAAAAGAAAGTGGCAGTACCTACATTAATTTCACACACTAGCCATTTCCTATGAAAGAAGTCTGACGCAGAAGTGGGATCCAAGAACTCAGAGGGTAGAGCCAAAAGCTTTGGAGCACAATTCCCTGTAGGAGAAGTTAGCCTTAATTAAAAAACTGCCCACAGGTGCTTTGCTGGATTTCAGAATTGCTATTATCTAATAACTCCTTGTGTTCCCATTTTCTCCCTTTTTGTATGAAAAGGTCTATAGTGGTTATCTTCTATCTGACTCCTCCTAAATTCTTGACCCACAAAAACTAAGAAAAGAAATGAATGATCATTGTTCAGAGTTACTATCATGAGGTGATTTGTGAGGCAAAAATAGATAACCAATATGAATGTATAAAAATACTAGCTAATATTTCTTTAATATTTACTATGAACCCAGCACAGTAATTTCATGGCACTAGGCTTCATATGATTTTCTCATTTTATTTTCTTGACTATTTAATGAAGCAGCTATGAATATTATAGAAATTTCATAGCTGAGAAAACTAATGCCTAAGGTTATGTAAATGACTCAGGTCATATGATTCCAGAACCCACATGGTTATCCAGTAGAGTATTTAGTTGCTCAACCACAAAAGAATTAAGCATTCTTACTAACTGGTAACACAGAAATTGGTAAATGTGGAGACACACAGATGGGCTGCTTGGAAATCTTATAGACAATCTCCTACATTCCCTAGACAAAGCTGCTTCAAATCAATACAAAATGTACTCCGATTCCACAAGTCTGAGTAGTGACTTAATGGAGAAGACAAGGGATTGCATTGCTTAGTGATTTTTACGACATAAAAGATGGCCACTTCACAAAATTTAGAACCTGTCAGCCCTGGCTTCTCATTGGATAGTTGAGGAAACTGGAGCCCAGGAATATAAAATATTCTGTCTACTTTGCAACTTAAGGACAGAACCAGAATAAGGTCTAGTACTCGCCTGTGGATTATTCCATTGTATCATACTGCTTGAGAAGCCTTCTGAATGGCTTAAATACATTTAGAATTAGAAAGACAGATTTACTGACCTCAATATTCTTTGGTCATTGCAGTTCCAAGAGATTCTGATTAATCACATTTTTTTTCAATAAAATTAAAAACTATTTTTCTGTGAGAACCAAAAAGGACTCTTCCTGTCTCTTGAACCTACTATTTATAATGCTGGGAAAAGCTCACATACATGCCCATGAAGGATTTAGCCTGGTGGCCTCCATCACTTGTCACTGTTTTAGTTCTCACTCAGGGTGAGAGAGTCCCATGGGAAAATTAAGACATATCACGTACCCCTGCACTACGATTCACTCTAATCTCCATGAAAATGTGAAGAAAAAACAAATCAAAAGAAATGTTTTCATATTTATATGGAATGTTTTCATATTTCAAATAGTTTAAAGTAATGAAACTTTTATATTTCATGCAGTATGCATGCCTTTAAATCATGTTATCGCTGCATCTAAGGAAAGCAAACTATAAAATTGGCCCAGCTATCAGGGAGATCCAGCAACCTTTGATCTGGCTAATATTTTTCGTTATCTGTTACACACCACATTTCCCCCCATACTTATCTCCACTTATTGATACCTGCCTTCAAAAAGTCGACTTACTGATAGAAATTCAGCTTTGTGAAAACAACAATTCAAGATCTCCAGACACTGGAGATGAAGGAAAGTAAATGCCTGGTTATAAGTTGGCTGAGCTTAAAAGAGCTAATCGGTAAGTGACCATTAGAGAAATGTTATCAAGATTACATCCTCCAGAAAGCAGTGAAATAGAAAAAGGAGAGAAAATTAGGACATAGGGAAAACGTAAAAAGCAGAAAGTCACCTCCTTAAAGTTTCTTCAACTCTGAATGTAGCACTTTCAGACTCCGTGTGGTTCTGTGCAGCCTTTCCCCTCGATAATTATGGAATTCTCAGGATTGAAAATGACTCAGAGGCTACTCATTTCACTTTCCTCTCTTGAATCCTCTTCCTATCATAGCCCCACAAGCAGTTGTCCAGCCTAGATGTTTAAAAATCCAGCACTGAAAGTGTCACATTGCTAAGTAGCTCATGCCTTTCTCTGATGTCTGCATTAGAAATTCTTGTTTCATGAACAGAAAATCAGAATTCTCAACTAGTAAACACATAGAAATGTCATTTTCCCTTATATCTGGGGAAGTATGAACTAAAACAGTAATATACCTTTTTTTTCAAATAGCATGTTAGGAAACTTGTATGTGTCTTAGTCAGTTTGGGCTACAATAACAAATTGCCATAGACTGGCTCCTCCCGTGAAATCACTCTAAATCCTCCAATTGTTGGCCCTCGTTCTCTGGGCTTGTGGGAGGGTGTGGAACCTTGCTAATCTCTGCATCACCTTTGGGATCACTCTCCATTTTCCATCATCTTGGCCAATAGACTCTGGCTTATATTTAGATGACTAACATCTTTACCAAATTTGGCCATAGAGTTTATGTTTTCTTTGGAAATGGCTCTCATTTTCTCCCATATAGATAGGCTGAGATTTTATAAAATTTTTAGTTCTGGTTTCCTTTCGATTAACAATTCCATTTCTCTTCTCACATTTTATTAAAGTGGTCAGGAGTAACTAGATTGCTTGGGAACTATACTTTGCTTAGAAATTTCTTCATCCAAATATCCAGTTTCATTTGTGAACTTCAAGGAGAAATATATCTGTCACAATGGACTTCTGGTTAACTGGGCCCGAATTCATAACCAGAGTCTAGCAGCCATTGATGACTGAGGCCTCTCTTGCACTCTACATTTCCAGAAAAGCCACATACTGAACTTTTCAGCCTCCTGTACTATGCCCCTGCCTGTTCACGCAGTCTGAGTAAACCACTGCAGGGAATCCTTGGTTTTTCTCTTTAGACCAATAGACTGAGACCTGCCACATCCAATCAGAGCTACGCAAGTTATATCCTCATTTGCATATATACTTATCAATCTGAACTACTCCATTTGGACCAATCAGAACTACATAACTTGGAAAACTCTTTTGCATAAAATTGACAAAAATGGGAACTATGGGTAGAAAATTTTTCTATAAGAGGGAGACTCTCCTTTGTCTAGGCAGAGTGTAATGTAGGTTGCTACCTGAATCTGTGTCTCCTGGGCAGCAGTTCTTTTTGTTCAAATAAGTGTTTTTATTTCTTATTATAGACTAAAATTAATTTTGGTCCACGCATCACTCACGAGTTTTACCTTTCAAAAAATAGAAGAACACAAACACAATTCAGCCAAACTCTTTGCCGCTTTATAACAAGCATCACCCTTCCTCCAGTTTTCAATAATGTGTCCTTCCTTTCTATCTGAGATCTCATCAGAATGGCCTTTATTGCTTATTTCTACCAAGTGGTCATTCTGTTCATGACCACTTAGGTATTCTCTAAGAAGATCAAGGCTTTTGTTGTAGCTTTCCTATTTTCTTTCTGGGCTCTTGCCAGAATCACGCTTAACAGTCCCTTAATAGCAATGCAAGTTTTTTCTAGCATGCATTTCTCTTCCAGACACAACCCACTACCCAGTTCTAAAGCCAATTCCACATTTTAGGTATTTGTTACAGCAGCATTTCTACCTCTCAGTGTCAATTTTCTGTTTTAGTTTGTTTGGGGCTGCTCTAACAAAATGCCATAGACCGGGTGGCGTATAGATAACAAAAATTTATTTTTCAAAGTTCTGGATGTTAGGAAGTCCAAGATCAAGGTGCTAGCAGCTTCAGTGTCTGATGATGTCCTTCTTTCTGGTTCACAGATAGTACCTTCTAGCTGTAACCTTACATGGCAGGAGACGTGAGAGAGCTCTCTTGGGCCTCTTATATAAGGGTACTAGTCCCATTCATGAGGAATCTACCCTTTTAACCTAATCCCCTCCTAAGAGCTTTGGTGGTTACGTTTCAACATATCAATGTGAAAGGCAGAGCACAAACATTTAGACCATATTAGGAATGGTTTAACCCAAAGTTAAAAATAAATGTTTTATGTTACAACTACTAATGTGGGAGGCTTGGTAAATCATACCCCTTCTCTCTAAGGAAAGTGGACAAAATACTGCTTGGGTATTACACTTGCTAAGAGGGCATCTTCTAACGATATCAACGATGTTTCAACTCACTGGTAAACAGTGATGCTTGTCAAACACTGTTTTACACTTCACTTTCTCCAGACTAACGAGATATACATCATGCAGCAACGAGTAAGCAGTCTTATATTTATCCACATAAGGGGGGCTCTGACAGAGATACAAGAGTTTAAGGAGGCAAAACTGAAGATCAACTTACTGGCATCTTGAATTGTCATGTAAAAAAAAATTTGGTGAGATTTGAAGGGATTATAGAAAGTGAAGATTGCAATTCAACTTTGTTTGAATTGAAGCTTTCAGTGAAATGTCTTTAAGCAGGGATATTGTACAAATCCTAGCTCAGCGAACAGTTTTCAAGAGAAAAACACAGTATTCCAGAAACTGTAAAACTATATTATTTCAGGGTTTTCCCGTACCCTTCCTCTCCTTTCCAACCCAACTTCTAACAAGCACTGTCCTAGAACATGAAACCATCTAGACAAACAGGAGTCTCCAGGAGGGCATCATGCTGTCCTAGGGATCAGTAATATGGATCTTAACTCTTGTGGTTTGATGCATTAAAAAACAGAAACTGTGCTACTTTATAAATAACCAAATGTCACTTTAAAAAATATGTAACCTACTTTATTTTAATTGTGATAAAATACACATAAACTAAAACTCACCATCATGTTTAACTGTACAGTTCAGAATCATTATATATATTCCCATTACTGTGCAGCCATCGCCACCATCCATCTCCAGAACTCTTCACATCTTGCAAAACTGGAATTTTATATCGCTTAAACAATTCCCCGTTCTCCCTCTCCCAGCCCTGGGAACCATCATTCTGCTTTGTCTCTGAATTTGGCCACTCTAGGTACCTCATATAAGTGGAATCATATAGTGTTTGTCTTTTTGTGACTGGCTTATTTCACCTAACATAATATCCTCAAAGTTCATCCCCGTTGTAGCATATACTAGAATGTTCCTAATAGGGAGGCTGCATATGTATGGAGGAAGAAGATAGGATGATGTGTCAATGTGGGTTCATCCTTGGTAAAAAGTGATCCATTCTGGTGAGTGAAGTTGATAATGGGGAGGCTGTGTATATGTGGAGGAGGAGGATCTACGGAAAATTTCTGTACTGCCCTCTCAGTTTTGTTCTAAATCTGAAACTTCTCTAAAAAATAAAGTCTTAAAAAATAATAACATCCACCATCTTAAACAGGAATTTGATGATTATTTGTGAATGTTTTAAAAAGCCTTTTGGTTAACCTTGAAAATAATACAGACTTCCAAAATTAAAGAACTACCCAAATAACTGGTATTTTCTCTAAAAAAAGAGAAATTTGGTAAATTTGGCCAAATTATTAATAGAATTTGTGGATTAGACAGTAATATCAAGTTATTGATTTTGGTGGGTTTCTGGGTATGTAGGAAAATATTCTTTGATGTAAAGATTGCACATAAAAGTATTAGGGGTAGTGAAACATCATGTCTGTAACTTAATCTCAAATAATTCAAAAACATTGCACATATACACATATACTTATTGATGGCAGATTTAAGGAATTTTAAAAGAAAAGTTAGTAAATGTCAAGAGTTTCAGAATCTAGGTGGAAGTTACAGGAAATTTTGTTGTACTAGTCTTACGATTTTTTTATAACTTTGAAATTGTTTAAAAATAAGAAGTAAAATAAAGGTTGTTAAAAGTGCTACAATGATGATGGCTGACATTTTGTTCTTATGGAGAAATAATTATGGAATAAAATGAAGGGAAACAGCATCTTTTGAATTTTTGTTTTTTTCTGACAAATAACAGCTACTTAACACAAACTGTTATTTCCTGAAAGGCACCAAGTAATAGACGACGCATCACTAAGGGAAAGCTCAACTTCTTTCCTTGCCGAGGGTGGCAAAGCCACTACTTTTGGACTAAGATAGGGTTGGCTACAATTTAAATCTATAGTGCGGGAATCATTTTCTTCTGTATTCACTCTCTAGAGATACGAACTTCTGTGTCTGAAAATTATATATATAAAAAACCTCTAAAATATAGATTTAAGAAACTTCTGCACAAATTTCATAAGAGATTTTAAACTGTCACTGCAACATAATTTAGCTGTCTCACAAGACACTGGCCTAGAAGGCAATTCCTTAAAAAACGTAATTCTGCTTGAACTCTCTGTCGCCACCTCATTTTATCTTTGTAACAGCTGTCTTAGCCATCATATGTTTATTAATTAACCTTCAGAAAAGAAAAGGTCCTCCAACTTTTTAAATGACAGTATTTGGGATGAAACCTAACTTCTCAGGGCTACGTTGAAATCTCTTTGGTCTATTCTCACATTTGTTCTGCTCTCTATTTTCATCATCCCAAATCCCATTCATTTTATAAGCCTAATTTAAAAAAAAAAAAAAAACTTCTACCTTCCGGAAGAAATTCATTCTCAGTTCCAACAACCATTGCTTTTTGCTGATTCTTATGTGTTTCATTCTAGAGTTACTTGTTTTTTACTGGACTGAGATTGCAAGCTTCTCCAAAGTTTATTGGGTTTTGTTCATCTCTGTAGACTCAACTTTGTTGAGAAAAGATCCCAAAACATAGAACTAATTTAATGTGTTCTTGTTCAACCAAGATAATATTCCAAAGGTTAATAACTGAATAGCTATAATAGAAAGATTTTAGGGTGACTTCCATGATCATTGCCTCCTAGTATCCACCCTTGTATAATTCTATTCCCTTGACTATAGGAAAGCCCTGTTACTTGATTAATCAATAGAATATGGCAAATGTGACAGGATTATATATTTTATATACTAGAATACAAA